CCTCGTCGAGGGTGTGCAGAATAGCAAACCCTCCAACCGCTTTGCTTTGGTTGATTTGTCCTTCCAACAAAAACATCAATCAACCTAATACAATTTACAATAAGAACAACCACACCTATGATACAAGGACGATAGTGTAGAGACTCTTGATTAATACACACACACACCTTTTGAATTGAAACACCTCTTCATATGGGGGTCTATGAATCAAGAGTCTACATTAAATATCATTATATAATGATACAATTGAGACACTCTTTTTTTACATCCCATCCCTTCCAATCTGACAGACACCTCGCTTCTCTTCTCGCCAACCGATACCTGCTCCGAGGCGGTGATGATGGCCGTGGGAAGTTTGTTCGTTGCGTTGGCCCTGGCACTGTCCACCCCGAAGGCGGAGGGTTCTGATGCGTTCTGGGCGCGCGGAGGGTTCGGGTTCTCCGGCAAAGGAAACGTTCGTTTCAGGTTCGGGCTCTGGTCCTTTTGAGATGTTTTTTTCCATTCTTCCAAGGGCTACTTTTCAAAAAGAGTATCATGAGAAGATGATAGAAGATGTATAGAGTATAGAGTCATATAGAGGTCAGGCCGTGGCATGGTAAGGACCCTTGGTGGAATTCGGCAGCTTTTAGGTTGGGTTCTTGGGCATGGTGTTCTAGGGATTTCCTGTGGCGTTCACGGAGTTCACCGAAGCTCGAGTTGTTGTTCACACAAAGCTTACTGTGCGGTTTAACCGAGAGATGAACCCAGGAAAGGCTGGGAGAATGGTCTATGCATGTGTGTGTAGCTCTTGAACTGAGTGTAAGTACACTTGGCTTGATTTAGCATTAGAATGCTCAATTAGATGGTCAACAGCTCACTCGTCACAAGCTCAACTTTTCTTTGCCCGCAGACAATGCATTTCTGGGACCCACATACCCTTAGAGGTTTGGATAATGATTGGACCCTAGGGCTCCTGGCCCATATCCTCAGAAGGTGGTTAGACCCCCAAAACCCATCCCAACCACCTTGTCAGGAGGTAGTTGGAGTCCTGGGGGGCATAAGGATTCATCTTGGCACCGGGATTTCACGTGCCCCCGGGATTTGGCATAAGTCATCTACTCTGAAATGCTCCGCTTATGGCTGTTCTCGTCCAAAGTTAATTGGTTTCTTTTTGGAAGTGCACAGTCTCTGCCGAGAGTGCACAGTCTCTTCTCACTCGGCCTCTTTCCGAGATTGAGACTAGCAAGGGCGTTCCGTTGAGATCTATTCACAATGTCTAGACCAACATCTGTCAAGGAGTTACAGTTCCTTCTTCAAGGTTGATGAGACCTGCCACCAGAACCAAAGCCAGCTGCGACTGCCTTCCGCCACCAGCCTGCTCCTACTTTTTCATTGTCCCCTACCCCACATTCCCGGTACAACACCTCAGGGCTGTTTGAGGAGCGGATTCATGACAGATTCGTGTGTGGCGCAGTATGTGTTATTTTCTCTTTTGCCAGGCTCCGGATCAGCAAGTATACCCTCCCTGGAGAATTCACATGGAACTCACATTGAAGTGGAAAATCCACTGGTTGTAGAGGAAAAGGGTCTTCCAAGGCGCCATTGTCCACTTCCATGTTAGTTCCAGGGAGTGCTAAATCCGTGCAGTGCAATGGCATTCCCAAAGAACACCTCGACCCCAAACCACTGGTCGTGGAACCACCCGCGCAGATTCGCTTGATCACGGCGGTGAGTATCTCCTTGCTGTTGCTGCTCGGCTGGCTGCGTCATGTGTGAAGCCGTAGCGGAGCAGCCGGTAAGGACAAGAACTGCTTTGCGTATCTTAAGGCCATACAGACCGGTTAACGTCATACGTTGACTCCGAGAGAGCCTGAAGACAAAACCGGTTTGTGCCACATCCTGATATTCACCAGCTGAAAGAGCCGCTACTGCGACTACTACCAGATATGGTTTTGGTTGTGATTGGATTATTGGGACACGTTGAACAGGGAGATGACCGATGGCCTCTATGGTATAAAGGGTGCCATACCCAGACCATCTATGGGTCTGCCAGAGTTACTGCACGTTTAGTATACATGTACTATCATTCACCAAAATTTATCATCCATCCATCGATGCAGAATTATGTATATTTGTTATTTGTTGTAGAGATATTCAAGTCTCATGGAGTGTTTGGGTTAAAAGTTAAGTTACATGCATTTACACCAGGACCCTCCAACAGGCTGTTTGGAGACCCTAACAGGTGGTTTCTGGGCACCTGTTGTCACCAGGAAGCACCTGTTGGAGGGTGCTGGCATTGAAATGCGATATGTCAATGTCCAAGACATTTCGTCGTTCGTCGACCGCGAACACCGATTCTCCAGTCGAAGCCTGAGACCAGTGACCGGTGATCTGACCGCTGGCTGGTGTGTTGGAGCCATTTGAGAATGGTTTCATATCCCAGATACGACCTGTCTGGGACTGGCATATTGACCAGGTCAGGGGTGGTTGACCTGGGGTCAATGTAAATATGCCAGTCCCATGGAATGTTTGGGTATGGTTTCTCTTCCAGGTTCCTTCCATGTCCGAAAAGTGTTCTTCTACGATTTTGCAGTTAGAGACGCTGTGGCTTGAAACGGACATTTGACCGCTAAAAGCGCACAACTGCACTGTTTGAATGGGCCCCAGATGCTCCGGCCGTGAGTTCACAACCCTTTCCCGTTCCCTCCAAAACCGCCAAGAGAGGTAGACCTGAACTAGTACCCTGGTCTGTGGTACATATGGGATGGGCGACAAAAGGCTGTGAACAACCTCTCTCGGCGGGATTGCTTCGAAACCCCCCCGGAGAAGGACGGAAGGTCTTGGCCCCACGTGCCGTAGCGGGCGTGGTGCCAGTCCACGCGTGATTGGAGCAGGGCAATGGTGCTGCTGTTGGTGTAGTTTACACTACCTGGACCTGACTGACCCAGTACCTTAAAAGATGGGAACATGACCCCCATCCAAAACAGGTACCGACTGTACCCAAGACTTCCGAGGTACGAGTTGCCGCGTCGACTCCAGGTACCCACGAGACACAGTGTTAGACCACCCGATCGGACGAGCACCGCGTGCGCTTTTCGTGCACGCCGCGCGCGGCCGGGCGGTGTTTCTGCCGGCGGCGGCGTTGGTTTCGCTGATACCAATAGGAGTATCCCCCAGCGCGCGGGTTGGGCGTTTTTTTTCGGCTTCCGCCCAAGACCTTCGGCCGGTGGACCGCGACCGGAGGATCTTCTTCTCCTTTCACACCTTGCCACGAGTCTTGGCGAGGAGCAGCATGGCTGGAATAAGGTGAAAGGGCGAGGAGTGAAGCGAAGAAGGTGCAGAGTGGAAGAGATCATGTAGATCTCTTGAGGACCATCACCCCAGCCATTTGAATTGAACCTCCTCTTCATATGGGGGGTGTATTAATCAAGAGTCTACATTAGAACCATTTGATTGACCTGCTAACACTTGTGGTTGGATCATGTTTCATGTTCTTATTTCTGTGAATGAAAGCAATGTTTGTCACGCAATCAAGGTATGAGGTCTGAAGCCTACAAAAGAGGATGATATTGAATGCGTGAAGATCAAGACTCATTGCGAAAGCGAGTTGGTATCACGTGGAATTATTAACTCAGCAGTATGAAAGAACTTTAACAAGTTAAGGGTTCTGCAGAACAAGGTCCTCTTTAAGGGAAGCTGCGATTCTTTGCTGAAAAAAGGGTGGCCTTGGAATAGTTTGGATGTTTTTTCTTTTTTTTTAAAAAGAGGTTTGGCCAACAACATTTGGCCAACAACATTGAAGGAGTCAAGTGCTGACCTCAAACTCATCTAGATAAACAACTCTGAACATTCCAGCCATATGTGTTCTGCTAGTATGAGCCTTGGTGTGGGTATGATGCGTATGATGCTTAGCCTGGATGGGATATGGAGAGTTTTTGCATAACTAAGACAACTTGTACATGTGGGTGTGTACCTGGACCCTCCAAAGTACCTTAGAAAATGGGACATGACCTCAGGAAAACAGGTACGACTGTACCCATTTTGCGCGGAACGAACTGAGACTCCAGGCACACGCTCCAGTCGATGTAAATGCAGTTTGATTTGTCCAACAGGTCTTTGGACGTCCCCCGAACTCAATCGACATCCACATCCATGTCCGCCTTACTTTGAAACCTCTTAATCCCTGCCAGACATCTGGGTGTGAAATACGACAAAGACTCCCAGCCAGACTTCGAACAAAGAGTTCAGAAACGACCACCAAAAACTCCGGGATCTCTATAGTATTCAAGTCTCCGCAATGGTCTCTAAAAAACATCGATCTCTTTAGGAGTTTCCTCCCACCTCCAGCCCGCTTCAGATGGAGCTTCAGACGTAGCTTCAGGTAACTTGTACATGTTCATCATCTCGATCGCCTATATGGACCTCTCTGGACCGTTGTCCTACTGGTACACAGGCGCGCGTGGTTTTTCCGTCCCTTCACTCCTGAGGCGTCGCAGAGAGTGAATGACTCTTGATGAATGACCCCCCCCTGTATCAAAAAGGTTTTATCATCCGACCCTAAACCCTAAACCCTAAACCCTAAACCCAAATATTTTGGGGGTTATTAATCAAGAGTCGGGAACTGTTTCGAGTTGAAGCTGTTGATGAATGTGATGAGTGAGTAGGCTTTTGGGTCCAGGTTTTCTGTTTTGGGGCCGCTGAGATTGGCTCACCGTGTAAGGCTCCAGAGTTTGTAGCCTGGTAGCCTGTTTTGTCCAATTCCCCGTGCCACTCCGTGCATCTCATATATACCTTCACTGGGGTGATTTTCAGGGATCAATGTATCATGTATCTACCCTAGGGCTCCTGGCCCATCTCCTCAAGTTCGGTGGTGAGACCCCCCAGAACCTACCCCAACCACCGAACCGAAACGGAGGTAGACCAGGAGCGCTAGGGCTAAATCTGCCAGTCCCCTGGGTCGCCTTTGAGATTGCTAAAAGCCTGCCTTTGGTACGCAACTCGTGTAGGCGAGGAAGGTTGCGTTCCAGATGGGCCGCACTTCAGTGGCTTTGCGTGACACTAGCTTATCATGTTAATTAAGGTTCAAGGTGGTTCTCACTGCAGACTACCAGAAAGTATTATACACGCTAATTTTGAAGCGATGAGTGAACACCATTGCAGCCACGCTGTCATGCCTAAATCTTTCATGGCCTTCACTTCACTGGGCCTAAAAACCTACACTAAAACCGGAAAACCTCCGGCCAGAGGTGTTTTTTGTTTTGTTCCGTCGCCAAGGTTACGCCTATTACTTGGCGGTTTCGAACGTGGTCGGCTCCCTCGGCAGCTCGGAGGTCGAAGACTGAAGGTTTGGGGAGTTCATTTTGGTGAAGAGGTTTGGAGGGCCAGGCATTAATACAGAGTCTTTGGATCCTTATATATTAATACAGTTTTGGGATCTTTAGGTAGGTGCAGTCTTCATTAGGTAGTTCTAATATTAAGATGGATCTCATGAGATTTCATGTTTCTTGGATGATTGGGGAAGCGAATCTATGGGGCAGCAATGGAGGGCTACACTCTGTCAACGACACTGATCACTGTTCTCATGCTGGTTCATAATGAAAAGTCCACCCGCTGTTCTTGAGCCAAGAACCATTGAGTGGACAAAATGGAGGCTCGGTCATGCAAGACGGTGACTGGCAACAAAATGGTTTTGCCATAGTGATGTAGGCAGACGTGATCGGATCTGTTTTTCTCAAACGTATCGGATTTCTTTCACTCCAATATGGGCTCTGTGTCATACTGTGTCATACCTCCCACCAAACCGAAGGTTATCATCCCTTCATCTAAGGGATTTCTTCATTTGGGTCAACCAGCCTACCAGCCTACCCGCAGCCCCGCTTCGCGCCTCACCGCTTCGCGCCGACCCATGGACGAGCGTCGACCCATGAGGTGCCTCCATGGGCGCGGTCTTGTTTCAGTACATGCAAACGTGGTCTTTCCGGAGCGCCTTCTATGTGCCCGGAGCAGCAAGCCATGTGGGCCATGCGTGGCGCCGTCGTCGTGCCATGCGTTGCGACGACTGCTGTGCCATACGGGTTGCTGTGGGGCGTGGACTGGTGTGGAAAACAGAATCATTCGAAGATTGACAGGTGAATGGTGGTGAAGTGTGTTCCTTTTTTTTTGCAGATGGATCAAGGAAGATCTGAAAGCATTGACTGCAATGGTGAGTGTTTTTTCATGTTGTGTCTTCAGAAGACACCTCATTCGGAGCATTCGGAGCATTTATGAGGAGCAGTACGATATGCCATGAGCTTGGGGGTTCATATACACCTGATGTGGAGTCATGCAGAAGATGTCCCAGCTTCCGAGAAGCGTTTGTCTCGCTGTGGAGGATATGGAGTGTTGGAGCGCCCTAGCTAGGGTACTAGAGCTGTCGGAGACTGTGGTACTAGAGCTGCCTGAGAATCCGGAATCAAAAGCATCCTCGTTTCCAAAATCTTCTAGAAGTGGTTAACAATGGATTCTTTGGACTCCCCCTTCTCCTCGAGATGGATCTATGCAGAGTATTGCAGAGTCTTTCCTTTTGCTTGCAACTCGCTTCTCCTGCGTCAGGTGACCACCTTTGTCGAAGTGGTCGCATCCTTGTTGCTCGGTCAACTAGGTGTTTTCGCAGGCAGGCAAGGAGCGGGTCATCTGACCTGGTGGAGTTCTCAGTTCATCTCCTCCTCGTCCTCCTCCTTTGAGAACCTCTAGGTGCTCCAGGTCCTCCAGCTTGGGAACATCAGGTCCTCCAGGTCGCCGCAGTTGGTTTGGGTCGGGGCAGGGTCGCTGCAGGTCGCGAGGTCGCCAGAACTCTTCCCGTTCTGAGGTCGTGCAAGAGGATCAAACGACACAATAGACGGATGTATATTATGGACTCTTGATGAATAACCCCCGCATTTGGATTGTAGAACATCTTTATAAAGTCTTTATATATCTTAACATGTGGGGGTCTTATGAATCAAGTGTTTACATTAGACCAGCCAAACTCATGGGGGTCTGCCTATTCCAATGATGACTCTCGCTCCCTACACGTATTCAACTCTTGCTCCCTAGAAGTATTCTGCAGCTGGCTGCAAGGATTGTTGGAGGCAGGGTATCTCAAACCCGCCTTGGGATCGCGCTGCACAAGGACTTTGAAGCCATGGTCCTAAAACATCTAAAACCACCCACGTCCTGCCACGTCGTCTGCACCACAGTCAAGGCTAGTGACTAGTGAGGCCTCCAAAGCCTAGTCCAAAGCCTATATAGCAACCTTTCACCAGAAGCAACCTTTCATCCTCGCTACAGGCGAGACCTGCCTGCCCTGCCACCAGCCCTGCCTACCCAGGTTCGATCTTTTCATCTTGAACCGCTGGAACCTGCGCGTCGGTATCCCGGACGCCTGGGCGTACCTCTTCGGCGATGCCGCGTGCCAATCCATCGCGGCCCAGCCGCTCGGAGCGGTAGGGGCGCCATGTGGGGGTAGGGGGGATATATAGTAAGGAAACACCAGGAGGTGGAGGGCGAACATGTCAGCCATTTTTGCATCCTGTTCGACATGTTTCGTTCTATGGATGTATGAGGTCCAAAAGGTCTCTCAAACTATGGTTTTTCCTTTTCTCTTGATATGCACTCCATGTTCTCCAATGTATGCCATGTGGGGTCTATATATTAAAGATGCCAATCCCAGGAATCAGCGTCGGCTCGCCGCCGCAATCAGCTCCTCCGCGCTCGGATCGCCCGAGGATGATGATCATGCCTCAGGCCTTGCTGACGGCACGACTGTGCCCACGTGGCGCCGAGGCGACGCACACGCACATGAACACTAACCCTAGGCTTCCAAGAACCATCGATTTAATAGGCTTTACCGAATCAACTAAGGATTTATTTTACACTACAAAAACCAGGTCAACCATTTTTTAAATGGTCTTGGAAGCCTAGGGCTAATGTAAGCAAACCCAAGACACGACCTGTCTGGCATATTGACCAGGCCAGGGGTGGTTGACCTGGGGTCAATGGAGCAGATGCCAGTCCCATGGAGTGTTTGGGAGTGGTTGATGAAGGTCAAGAATTCAAGGAATTGGAATTGTCCAAGGAATTCATGAGCTTGGAAAAGGCACGTCCGTCCGAGAATCGTGGATCAACTTTCGGGGTTCCAGGAGCAATCAATCGGTCAAGGCTTTTGACATGTCAAGGACACATCATCATAACCGGATCATGACGTACACGCACCACATGATCATAAATGTTTGGTCACATTGGACAGTTTCTATTTTTATGTTTTTGTCGCGTCCCTTTTCCAGCACCATCCTCAGAACAGGAGTGCGCGCATGAACAAAACACCATTGAAATGGGTGCTTCCGGGACGCATGAATGAAGGCCACGGTCTTTGCCATTCTCGCGGGTTTCCAGAACTTCGGGGCCAACATAGGACAGCGCGAGTTCGTCGAGTTGCGGCGTGACGTTTTGTTTGTTTTCTAAAGCGTGTACAAGTACAAGTGGCTGTTGTTCGATTCAGGTTGTGAGCTTTGCTCTACTACCACTAATCAGGCAAATAACGTAGAATATCGTAGAATCTTGATCAATAACCCCCGCCATATGATCCCCATAATCCCCATATGAAGGTATTAGACTAAATTAGACTCCTAATGGGCGGTTATTAAAGCTAAGGCTATAGTGCTATAGCCACTCAATTTGCCAAACAGGATCCATCCTGGGAGCGCAGTTGGCAGAGGCGACTGGCATTGCACCTGGGCCCCCATTATGACGTTGATGACAGGAGTCACAAGACGGGGTGGTGTGGCTCGTCCCATCCAGGGCCGTGGATGTGACAGGGGCACCTCTAGCCTCGATGGATCGCACCCCTGCTGGAACTGCTGGATCACAGGGGGGGTTCTTTGATCTGAGTACTTGGACCCTCCTGACACCTATATAACAGTGTCTGAAGGATCACCTGTTGAGAAGGTACCACTGGATTTGTAGGGTTGTTGGAAGATCAATTCTTTGTTTGATGTTCACGCAGCCCAGAGACGTTGTGGCCATGAGATGAGTGGCTCCAAAAAGAGCGGTTCTTTCCGCAGATCAAGAAACTGTTTTGAGCAGAATCTGATGTTTTCGCTATTTTTCAGGGAGACAAGACAATGCATGTGAATGGCACTAGAACCCGTGCAACTGCTCAGCACGTTGATTTGTGGGCCATGTTTTAACACATGTTGCCGGAAAATGAGGGTGTCCTTCAAGACATTCAACTCCTCAGCCAGCTCGACCATTGAATCTGCTATAGCATCTATGAGCGAGTGAATACCCCAAAACAAAGAAGGGTTTCATTTGGTGCTACAAAGTTCTACAAAGTTCTTTTTGATGTTCCTTGGTCCTAATTAGGTGCCATTTGGTTTCGACTTCCCCTAGGGAACCGCTTGGTCGTGGTTCTCGCTTCTCCGGTGACCCGCTCTTTGGGAACCAAACACCACTCTCAAGGGATCTTCCGGAGCTGCACCCGGAACCGCACCCCCGGGGGATCTCGGCATCCCGCGGTCCCACGGGTCCCAGCCTCGGGGTCCGGATCGATCGAGGTTGGCCAGGTGTTGCCCAGAAAACGCTATGCGGATAGTCCATCCGCTGAGAAGAACAAGTGGCAAGACAAGCCAAGACAACTGGTACCTGGTATACAATGTATGGTGCCCAGCTGGGATCTTAAGTACCTTCTCAGAAGTTACTTGGATCCTCCAAACCTGCATAGCCAATCATTTTCTGAGAAGGTACTTGGATCATAATACATGTACTGATTATGATATGAAGTGAATTATACCCTCCAAGAGAAGAGGTGTCAGGTGGCGGTTTTTGTAGACTTCAATGTCGTAGTGATCTGAAGCTTGCTGGTGTCCTCAGCACCCCCTTCTTATCTTGAAACCACTGGAAACTTGTGAGTCCAACGACGAATACGGCACTGTTTGCTGTTCATGCATGTTCATGCTACCAACCCCAAAAAAGAAAAAAACAAGACAAGTAGAACACCATGCCTCATCTCAGCCGGCCTTGAGGTCATGAAGCGCAATGGGCCTTGTGAGTATCAAACGCTCCCTCACCTCATCGTGCTGCGCCCCGGCGAACCGCCCGCCGAACCGTACCGCCGACCCCGGTCGGGAGAACCGCCCGTCGAGGTCGGATCCCGGAGGACTGCCCGTCAGGCGGTTGAAGTGCGCAGGTGAAGTGCGCAGCACTTGAAAAAGGTGAAGTGCACACCACTTGAACCTCTCAGCAGAAACCAGTTTTGGTCTCAGTTTTTTGGACAAAAAGGACCGATGAACCTCTCATCAGTCCGATGAACATCGTCAGGTGCCATGTGGCAATCCCTCTGGCGTGTTTACTCCTCACGTGGCTGGTGCCATCCGTCGCGATGAATGATGAGAGCGCCTTCGCCATGCGCCTTGAAGTTGTTGGTCGAAGTCATTTGGATTGGGATTGAAGGCTTACCCAGACACGACCCGAATCGACCCGAATCCTTGGTCGGACCCGAATCCTATGGAGGGGTCTGGGGTCGAACCAATCCCTATAGGTTTTGAGAGACCGGGAAAGGGCTGTGAACGGAGCGTTTGGGTGGGGATGGTGGGAATTCAGTGGCTGATTGGGAGAAGTGGCTCCATGCAGTTGCTTTTGGGATTTGTTCCCTAAGATGATTCAAAGTTAACTCGCTTCATCACACGGTCACCAGAAAAGGGGTTCCAAGCTTGAACCCTTCCAAACCCCCCTTGTTGTGTTTTCAGGAACCCTTCAAAACCACTTCGCGCCATCTCCGCAGCTCGCCACTGCCGAGGGACTCTCCACCGCCCTCCTTCGCCTCCCCCGGGCCTTCGCCGCCCTGGTCACCCGAGACCACGCCGCGCGCGCAAGAGGCCGGCTGTGGGTTCGCACCTGGATGGATTGGAAGGATTGGACAGTGGACATACTAGCTTCCCGCTTGCTGATCTGGCTTCTTGCTGATCTGGCTTCTTGCTTGACCTTTCAGTGTTTATTTGTTCCTGCTCCTTTCTTCTTTCTGCTTCTCTTTCTTGCTTATCTCGCTTCTTGTTGTTCTGCCTTCTGACTGGAGCCACTCGTAAGGAATGAGGGAATGGATCCTAAGGTATCTATAGTGCGGGGATGCGAGGGTCTTTCCCTCCTTCCCTATTCAGAACCAGCCAGTTGTTGCAGACATTTAGTAGGATATTCATGGATACAGAGTTCGTTCACACCGACACACTGTTAGAAGAAAAGCTGGACTGCAGTGTGGATGAATAGAGTCTGTGTTTATCCTACAAAAATTATGCAATAAATAGTATTACCGTATCACTCATTACATTGATATCTGTTATAAAGTGCCAGTGCATTTCAACAAATCTGCTTTATTTGGCAGACCATCCATGTTGTATTTATTGTTAGATATCCAGGTGCCAACAGGTTTGGTAAGTTGGGTTACAACAACTATTGTATCCCCCCTCATCATCCGCTGGGAACCTTGGGAATATATATATATATTATATAGTATACTCCAAGCTCCGCATGCTCCGCCGCGCAAATGTTCATTCCTGCACTCCTATGGTTTATGTTTCAACTGACTTGATTATTGTTCGATTGCAGTAAATCCCGGCGTTTGATTGTCAAAACACAGTAGAACTACACCCTTCCTCGCAATTGTTTCATGATCCACGCATCGCCCGCGCAAGAAACCCTCGCATTGCCTTCAGGAAGAGGATGAGCCTGGTGGTGTAGAAGGTCACACACAGGCACCGGGGCTCCGAGCAGATCGGGGCAGGGCAGGATCCCTCAGATCAGGATCTGTCGGCATCTCGTCTCCTCAGACCCATCTGAGACCCCACCAAGGCCAAGTCAGTGAAGCATTGGCAGGTCAGACCTGAACATCTTTTGGTGGGATGGCGGATGGGTGGTGTCCGGTTTCACGCCACCCAAGCAAGTGGAACAAACTCAACCGTTCCAGAGCCTTCAGAGACTGTGATCATTTGTGATCTTTTTCGATCGCATGGTGGAACAGGTGGAAAAAGAGCAACCATTGGTGTTTTTCTAGGGCTCTCCAGGCCCGTGGTTTAATGTGTTGTCCATCATAAGCATAATGGGGCATGGAAGGTCAGGGCTTTGATCTCAGGCAACGCTTTTAGAGGTGGGCACGATTCTCTGGGATGGTGGCAGTTACTTGAACGCTCTGAACATAGCTTATGAATGGGGTCTGTGCTATTTTACCTGTAACAGGCAGTAAACAAGAACATTACTATTTTTGGACAAGGCCTCCAACTGAGCCATCATCATCCACTGGGCCCAGGTGATAGGATAGACCCAAATTAACAGCAAAAGAACCTATATAGAGTCGATGTTTGAGCGGCTTGGATCTTGCCCTGGCCGCGCAGGAGTACTATTTGATGCAAGAGGATGGCTTGATCCTGAGACAAGTCTCGGGATAGGCACGCGTTTCTTCGCGCCGGCCCACGCGTGGGCCACGGGGGGTCCAAAAGGTGATCTTTCAGCGCCGGGTTGACCTATCCCTCGTGCTGGCCGCCCCTCCGTTTCGGTTCGGTGGGACTCGGATGGGTGTGAGGGGGGTCTAACCACCGAACCTGAGGAGATGGGCCAGGAACCGGGTATAGACCGGTTGACCTGGTTCTATCTCGACCGGTCATTCGAGTGATGTAGATGGTGGACTGGTGGGGTGAAGATGGAGCTGTTCTTGACCCAGCCCCTAAATAGTGTGAAGTGAAGTGAACTGGGTGTGTATTTTTAATCCATAGGGCTCCAACTACCTTCTGAGAAGGTGGTTGGGGTGGGTTTTGGGGGTCTAACCACCTTCTGAGGATATGGGCCAGGAGCCCTAGGGAATACGGAGACACCCTGGCCCACTGGGTTTTTGGTCTTGCCAGGGGGTCAGGGAGGTCTTCCTATTTTGATACCCAAATGAAGCTGTTCTTTGCATGGGATGTGTACACCGAGTCGCTGCGCTCTTCAGACGGGGGTTTTCCCGGTTTTCCGGTCGCTGCAGATGCTGAGTCCATTCAGGGATTTCCTGACGTTCCTGATGATCAAACTGAGATGTTGGTGCTTTTCCTTTTGCAAGGCTCAGATCAAGTGGGGTAGGAGCATTTTGGGATTTGACACATGTCATGCCCTCGCCGCTTCTCGATCAATTGATCTGTTGTTGCTTGCATATGCTTGTCACATCCGGACAACAGCCTTCCTAATGGTCAGGTGACCATTCCCAGCTCCGCCTCAGAGCCGCCCCAGGCCACCCCAGTCCCCCACCCCACTCCGCCACTCCGCCCTCCGCGCAGGTGTCCTGCGCGTCGGGTGCGTGGGATTTCCGCGCTTGCCGCGCTGGGGCGATCAGGAGCGGAGATCAAACCATCTCAGCCCGTGATGGCATTGCTTAGGAGTTGGTCATTGCGGATGAGCCAGGATCAAGAAATTCTCTGACACGTGTGGGTCTAAGACGGTTAACGCTGGGTCTAAGATGGTTCAGCTTCCGGCTCAAAGAAGACAGGACCTCCTGAGAAGGTGGTTGGGGTGGGTTTTGGGGGTCTAACGGAGGATATGGGCCAGGAGCCCTATAGGGATAATCTCATCTAATCTAGGACTCCCAATGTCACCAGCCCATCAAATTCCTATGTCATTAGCCCTCGGGCCCTCTAACAACCTATAGGAGTTTTGTGTGAGATTGTCGTCGAATCTTCAGGATGCTTCCGATCCCCGTGATCTCCGGGATAAGCGCCTGACGAATGGATGAAGTACGAAGTGACCGAGATATGCTTGCGATCATCAAAAAAGATGCGGTATTGGATGCCAACCACCATGTATACTTCATAATGTTTACCCAACAACGTCCAACGGATCAGTGCTTTGCAAAGTACTGGTATTTGTCGCGAGAAAACCAGGTCCACCTTTGCTTGAACGTGCAGGCGTTACCGGTGAGTCTCATGGGGATCTTTCACCCTGTGAGTCTCCATTTCACCAAATACCTTCTCCAAAATAGGAGGGGCACATGAGGATTTGGGCAACATCTGGGAAGGATGCTTTTGTGTCCAAAGAAATACCGAACCTCAAAAGACAGGTTCTTGGGTGTCGGCACGGGCTGTCCGGGCTGTCCTCGGTGCGTCCCTCATGGGGTGAAAGAGGGAAACCGGCGAAACCGGCTCCAATCCCTTGAGCACCTTCGGCCTATCCTGGGTCTCATCACATCGCCCCGAACGATTGGGTTCAGACGGGAAGTTCCGTCCGTTCCGCACCACGAGAGTTATGGAACTGGAAGAGTTACGGATCGATGGGTCCTGTTGAGGTAAACCTATAGGGTCGAACATGTTTGTTGAACAAGAGGTATGTAAATTGTAAATTTTTGTGTAAAGGTCTTCACACATCTTCAAACTGTGTATGAACACGGGACATGTTGAGGTAATCTATTTAAAACTGTTCCAGTTCCTATGGATGTTCTTGGCTATGGATCCTTCTGGACCTCCTGGACGATCCGAAGAGCTCCAAGGTCGCTCATATCCAGCGGGTGGCGGTGCGTGCGCGAAGGCCGCGCGAAGCTGCAAAGCAGCTGCTCAAGCTCGTGGTGAAGGCACCAAAGGAAGTGCCCAAAGGAAGCTGCGAAACCAAGTCGACTCAGCAACCTTGAGCAATTGAACTGTTTCTGTTTCTGTTGGATTCAGTTTTAAAGGACCTGGGCTTTGAATCAACACTCAGCCATGACGCCGTGGGTTCTTTGATTGAATTCAGTGTGAACTCGGCCCCCTCAGAACCCATGGCACCGCCCCCGCACCAGGCAGGAGGGGCACCTGTTTGCCTGACAGGTCAGGCGGGTCCAGTGGTGTCAGCTGTGTGTCCTGAAGGTATTTATAGTAGGATCCCTTCACTGCCTATGAAAGGCCGTGACGGACAGGGACCGCAAGTCGCGCTATAGTAGGATCCACTACCCCAGTGGTGTTTGTTCATCTGAAATCGGGCGACAGAGGTCAGTGGAGAAGATGTCAATTTCCTTATGCGTCATACTGGTGAGATGACCATTTGGCAGATACACATGTCATTGGGGCAACAAAATGGGCAGGCTTTGTTGAAGCCTGACATTTGGGAGAAGAGTTGGTTCCTGCGCATATTTTTGGTCGTGCCTGTGGCCTGGGCTGATCAACGTGTGGTCCAGCTCCAGAATTGTCCCTTTGCTCGCCACGAAGCAACAAAAACGGGAGGGCTGTTTAGGCCAGGCCACCAGAGTTACCCACCCTTTTGGCAGGAGTGTGGCCAGGGCCAGAATTTGACGCACTCGTATCGTATCTCGTCACTACAAAAACCTTCAGAAGAACTCAAGGTGGCCCTGAGTGCTATTGCCATTGGCGCGAAGAAAAATACGCGAAGAAAATACGCGAGCGCCTGCAACAAGCCATGGAAGATTTCCATCACTTGGAGTGAGAATGAGCTGCATTTCGGTGGCGAAGCGATCTTCTGCTACGATGGTTCTGTGGTTGACAGGGCGGGTTGGTTGGTGAAGTGGTTTTTCTTTGATAATGGTGATGTGATATGTTTGTACATGTTTGTACGGCTCAATGCTATTCAGGCCTGAGATTTGTCAGGTCTCAGACTACCCAGACCTTGGTGGTGAGTGGTTTTCGCCTACGAGGCCAATCGATGGTCAGACGGTCAACCCAGTTGAGGCTTTCTGCAGCTGCGCGGTCGTCCTAGGCGTTTCAGTGGAAGTGGAGAAAATGTCCTCCGAAAGACCATGACAATCCACTACAAACAGGTGGTGCCATCCACGTAACCATGTTAGATCCAGGGAGACTTGTTCATTCCAACGGCCGAAGCTGGCGACCACACCGGGTCGACCGGGACCGAGCCGGCCTCACCCCATGGGCCTCACGAGACTAGGATAGACCGTCTAGACCTTGGGGGGGGGTGGGGTCAAACACGGATGGACTGATGTAGAACGCCTCACTGTAGAGCGCTGTAGACAAAGTGGAAGATCTGACTTCGACAAAGACAGAGCCTTTTGACATGGGTTTTGATGATGTTTTGAGGAATGATCACCCAATAGGTTTCATGTGTCTGAAAACACAAAAACATGCACATTGTCTGGTGTCAGGTTTTCCTTGCCTTTGGTGTTTTTGTTTGATGATTTTTGTTCAATGAATAGTAATGGATGTGGGTCAGTTGAGCCATCACTTGTTTGGAGGGGCTTAAGCTCTTGGGCGACCCTGAAATGGATCCCTGGCAGGTCCTCTCAAGATCACTCCCGCAAGATCACTCAATGAGTTGAGTCTGCTGGGGCTTGGCCCTTAAGGCTGTTCACCTTTCGTCCCCGGCCAAACTGGTTTGGCCCAGGTAGACCTCCAAGTCGACTGAAAATTCATAGGACAAGCCCGCCCAATGAAAAGACAGCGATGGCATATATAGGGGTGGCAAGAACACAGCTTCTTGGAAGTGAACACATTCAAACTGGCAAGAAGCAAATACTGAACTGCCTTGTGCCTCAGTCCTTTGTGATGTTGAACCCACCAACCACAACATCATACAACCAACATCCAGCCACCTACTTCAGCCGCAGAACTGAAAACAGAGGAACCCCAACTGAAAGGAGGGCCCTTTTGAAACCACTGAGACCTTCCAACCGTCACCAAAACCATCTCTGGGGACGGCCCTTTTCCCATTCAGACAGGGACAGTCCTGTTGAAACCACGACCTGAAGGTGATGCCCATCTCAACCCAAACGATTGCTTCCAACCAACCTGTAGGTGACCTGTGGGTTCCCCGCAAGCAACGACCTGAACCAGGGGTCACCTTGAGAGGGGGCTGAAGGAAGTCGGGGTGCTCCTGTCACATCCACGGCCCCTGGATGGGCCGAAGCAAAACCACCCAACTCCTTGTGACTCCTGGACTTATCGTTGATTATATATTATACATTATCCACTTATCGTTGAACATACCAATGACCTGAAGGGAATCCTCAACCCTTTCTTTCGTTCTTTCTTCTTTCTTCCGATGGCTTAATGGAGCTCTCGCCCGATTTGCTGGACAAAGCCAAGGGCCGAGGCCCGGCGTGAAAACACACCAGCGGCGGCGTGGGTGTCGTTCGTGTTCGCTGCGCTGGTCATTGAAGTAAGAAGACTACACTACCAGGAGTCACATGGAGTTGGGTGGTTTGGCTGGTCCCATCAGTGAGTGGATGTGACAGGGGCACCCCTATCCTCCAAGTTCGGCACCCCGTCTTGTGACTCCTGGTACACTCTCTGATATTCCTCATGACGACAATGGCCCTTATGACACCAACAGGACCCTTTTCCAAGACCAAAAACAGGTCTTCCACTGGAATGTTTGTTTTCCCCTCGCAATGCACCAAGAAGTGTTTGAACATTCGCAGTTGGAAGAATTGGGATCGTTAGAATGGCACTGAGGTCATGCTCCTATAGTTCCCTTCTTGCTGCTTTCGGAGATCAAGGGTTTGTCATCTCTAATTTGCCCGAAGTAGTCGATTGTAGATTGCTTCTCACTCCCCTATTGTCAGCAGACCTCATTTTTTCAGAGATGGTCTTACAGTAACTGTTATGGTTTGGTTGCTTCCTGAAGTTCGATCCATTTTGTGACTCCATTGATGGCGCTCACAGAAAAATCTGTCATCTTTCTCGGTACTGGTATGATCTCTTACCGAAGAATACTGTCGGATTTGGACACAGCTAGACTGCTCGACTTGGACCCAGATGGTTTTGTTTTGATGTCCACAACAGCTACTATCATCTAGATAGGGTCTGTCCGAACTTACCTGTAACAGTCAGTAAACAAGCAAATCATCATTTTTGAACAACCCTTTACCAACCATCATCATCCACTGTTACAGGTATTAGGATAGACCCAACATTTAGATCATAATTAATGCCAGAGACGACCCTCCAAGGTCTGTTTTCGGATGGAATCGTCCGGATGTCCTTTGCCTCCTACCTTGTCCTCGTATCCTGTCCATGCAATGCATCAGGCATACAAAACATCTTGAGGCTCTTGATATGCTTAGGAGCCACTTCAATGGGTTTGTTTCGGCACCAGGCAAAGTTACAACTGGCAAGAGAACTGTACTCAAAAAGTCATTTTCTGTGAACCCCTAGTATGTAACAGCATTCACTACATGTCTATCTAGCTAGCTACGGTTCACCAAGGTACATGAAAACATTGTACCCGACCGTCGCTTGCATTGGCTCAAGGAAAAAGCCGCAGCCGCGACTTTTCCTTTCAGGGTGCCGGGACTTACTGACCTGTGGTCGGTTCTCCCATTCGCGTTCGCTTTGCATCCTTTCGTGCCCACCGTTCGTTCGCTCGTCGCCGTACGTCGTTCGTCCGGTTCCACTTGCCATCACGGGGTCCCGTCCTTCCGACGCTCCTCGTACACCCATTAACATAGACCGTGCATCCAGGGATTTAGCTTACTTCTTTTATCACTTACCTGTTGATAGGATAAGCTGGGCGTTCCCC